GCTTGCACTCAGATCCTAGTCCTGCAGGAGGAGTGGGGGTAGAAATCAGGTCACATCCAAATTCTGTTCCACAGGCAGCACTGCTGTCACAGGCCCTCCTGTCCCCACTGGAGCTCAGCCACACAAGACACTGAAAACGTGGCTGCTGTGAGCCCCCTCACAAAGAGCATGGAAATGAAGCCCCAAACTGCCATCCTCCTGAGAGGACCGGTACTGTCAGCCAGAAATATTTGGCTTGCAGGTGTTTGGCTTTCTGATGAATAGCTCTAATTTTCTACAGAAAGATACTATTTTTTGTGGAAAAAAATATTCTCACAAAATCCAATTTTCCCTTTAAGGAACAGATAGAGATGGAAAAATTTTAACCTATAAGATGTGTGGTTTTCTCCCCGTCCCACCCCCCCCCAGTCCTTTCTGCATATTCATTGACTTGCCTTGCTATAGAAAATTGCACTGAAGGTGGTTGGCTCTGAGCCCAAAATGTTGCCCAGTGTCTCAAGATCAGTGATATTTCCATGTGTGGACCTTGATTTTTCTCATATACCAATCCCATGAGAGGCAGAACAACATTCTACTGTATTGCATGTCACTGGATATCATGATCATGTTCCCATGTTGGCCATAGGGAAAAAAAGGGTGTTTGCAAGGGCTTGTAGACAAAAAACCCAGAACAGGTCCCCAGGAAAGGGGAGTCAGATTTTGTAGCTGTCTTAGAGGTATGAAATATTTTATGACCAATACTAGTATGCAGATATTCTAGAATTTATTTGCTTACAAAATAAAGAGCAAAGACATATTATCATAATACCGAAAGAAATTCATCCATATTTGAGATTTGCTATAATTCAAGCAAAAGGAAGGAAATTCAGGGTCAGAGATCACTCCCTCCCTACTGTCTGTCACAATGGGTTACCATCCTTAATTTTACCCAACTATGTCATATTGGAGGCTTGATCCTTAACTTTGAAGTTTTTCTCTCTTGTGGAATTAAGCCAGAACCACAAAATATTTGAAAACACAGGGCTTGATGGAATTGAATGTAGTTTTTCTGTGTAAAAGTAAAACCAAACTGAAAGTATTTGTCCTTCCAAAAGGATGGTTTTAAAATTGTCTTTGACCCTTTTTCTTCATATTTATACTGGCTCTAATTATTTGATTAAAACTGTAGGAAAGCTATTTTGAAAATATTATTTTAAAAAGACAAATAAGGAAACTTTGATTATTTTTTTTCAAATATATCCTCTCTTATTTTATAAATGCTTTCCAGATTTGGCTTGACATTATTACACATTTCAGGATTATCTGAAAGTTAACTCAAGTGATACTTTTCTTTGGCCCTGCTTTTTAGCATTTTGAGGTATCATTCTCAATTGATTTTAGTGTTCTCTTTAGGGATATTTGATATAAAATCACAGGCTTGAAGATCAAAAATACATATATATATATATACACAAATGTACAAATACGTATACATACATATACTTATGCATACATATGTATATGTAGCCCACAGAAATTAATCATAAAAATGTGATATGTGTTCAACCAGCCAAATACAATAAACACATCATTCATTACTTTAAAATTCTATTGACTTTAGTGATAGCTTTTCCTGAATAACGAATGTCAGCTCTAGTCACAGTAAAACTTCAGGAGTTCAACAAAATATTTTAATAGAACTATGCCTAAATTCAAGGAAACTTCACAGAGGGAGGTTGCAGTGGCTGATATGGATGGAGGAAGTTTTCATATCAATAAATATGGTGGCATCTGCCAGGTAAAATGTTGTAATAATCCTCTGGGTGCTACTTCCCTCCCACTAATATGTTGGACAGTTTAGATTAACACCATATGCCTGTTCATAGCACGGGTGGAAACCAATGTAAATAGAGAGAGAGAGAGATATTAATTTCACAGTCCTGTTTTTCCTGCACTCCTGTCTCCAGGCTAAGGGCTGGTGGCATTTACAGAATAATGGAAGAGGGAGAAAACAACCCCAGCAATAGGTCAAAGCATGGGAAGGAGGAAGAAGCATGGGCTAGAAAAAGAAAAGGAAAGGAAGGGAATTAGTTATGGAGGAGCTCTTGCAGCTACTTTCTGATAGACTGAGGCTTTCAATCTCTTCTGTATCCTCTTCATGTCCTCTTCCCAACTTCTCAACTTGTCTTTGCTGTCACATGGGGACTGTGCTTCCAAGGCTGAGCCAGACTGCTCACCCACACCTCACCTTGTCCACTGTGCTTCTCTAATGTGGGCTAGCAGCAGTCCATGGCAATGATTTATTATAAACTAGGTGCAATTGAAGTTCTCTTTTCCTTTGGGAAATACTTGTAAATAGAGATCGCTGTGTAGCATCTGTAGTTTCCAAGTACCCATATGCAGGATAAATTAGTCAAAAAATTATTCCCTGACTCTGCATTTACACTGTAGTCTTCTTGGCAGAAAAGATTGTTTACTTATTTGTAGCAGTATAGAAAGACCTTTCCCCTATTATTTGCAAGCTTTAGCCAGCAGATGAGAAATAAAAGCAACTTCAAATTAATTCTTGTACCAAGCTCATTTATGGCTGAATTAAATTACAGCTTCAGAAATGAATGTCAGAATTAGATTGCACTGTGCTTCATTGGCACTGTTGATTCAAAATTTATGGTATTAGGCCTGTTCATTTAGACACATGGACCTCTCCTTCACCAGACAAGTCACTGAGTCACACGGACACGAAGTGAGGTTCAGATGGAACTCCAGAAAATTGGCTCCAAACACTTTCTACAGATTGGCTTATTTAGATAAAGGGCAGTGGTGAATGCTCTGTTCTACCACAGACAAACAAGTTTTTGTGAAACAAAATAAAACTAAATGCATAGTCTGTTTTCAGTGTGGACAGATGTATGAAGACTCCTTACATTGTCTTTTAAGAAGAGCTCTGGGTTCGTCTGTTGTTTGTGAAAATGGTTCCATGTTTTTTCTTCATGGCTTTTGCATGTGAGAACCTAGGACTAGTACCAATAAGCTTTTCAGCCTTTCAGCCTTTAATGAAGACATATGTTCCTACCAGAGGAGAGTACTGGAATAAATAGCACAAAAATAAGCAAAACATTTGCAGGTCATCACGCTGGTTCTGTGCTTTAAAAAAAATATAGGCCAGAAATATTGTGGTCAAATTCATTGCAATCCATCCCTGGTAAAGTAATGAAAAAATACTCATTCAATTAAAAATGCCAGAATTCAAACTAGATGTTATTCATAAAAAAATGGTTCAGCTAGCTGAATCCATGGTGAGACAGTGACAGATATAATAAAAATCAGCCATGCCATGATTTTTTTTTCCTCTCAGAGAATTCATAATGTGTTTTTAATTAGAGGGAATCCAGTTTTTAAAAATCACAGCATGTTTCTGCGTAATCAGTCTGCCACTGCCTGGTCCACTATTGCCAGCATGATTTAAACATCAGAGGTGGGCCCGTGTCCCAGGGCCTCAAACCCCCAAGCCAGGGACAGTTTCAACTCCAGCACTGCAGGTTTTCCTGGGGAAAAGGTACCCTCAAAATAAAAATAGTTGAGTACACTCTAAATGAGAAGGTCTAAATAATGGTCCAAAACACTACAACCACTGAAAGTTGTCAGGCTAAGAACTGAAATGCATAGCTTAATGCAAAGAATTTTAATTTTTTTTTTCCTCAAAACTGAAGGAGGGCAGGGATTCAATATTTTCTGTTAATCTTTCCTGAGATAAAAGTGACTTCTAAGAGTTTGGCTTCAGTTCTAAACTAGCAGTGAGGCAGACAAAAAGAAGTGAGAAGGGAAGTGTTTTCTAACAAAGCTACATAAAACTGCCTTTGGAAAACTGTGCAGTGACATAGTGAGGTACATTGTAAAGTTAAGTGATTGAGTCAACTTCTTGGCTGCAAGATTCCAATCTGAAGGCAACTTACCTTGTTTTGGTTTCTGTGTTCCTGAAGCCATCAGGACTGTTTCCTACCAAAATACATGGGGTAAGGGAGAAAACATGAACTGCACAGTCTCCTGCTCACGAAAGCTTCAGAGTATAGAGGCTTGTCTGACAACAGAAATAGCAGCTGCAAAATGATTTATATCCAAGTAATCAATACTTCAAGAAATGTTGAGATTTGCATCATAATACATAAAGTAATTTGGAATAGGTAAAAACAAACAAGGCTTGATTCTAAACTTTAATCTGTTTTCCCTTTTTTATTCTTCTTTACAGTTTAAACTCTTCTTGCTCCACAACTACATGTCTCCAATATCTATGTTTTCACAAGGGGAAGCATTAGACTTTAGACAGTTGTTGGACTCTGGGCTGGTGGTTCCCAAGCAAAGAAAATACCAAAGTCAAATCAGGGTTTATATCTCTTTGTTTAGAAAGTGCAGAATTAATGTTTCCAAGTGAGAATTTATATCCTACAGTCCTAAACAATTACTGTGATCCCCCAAATAATGTCATTTTATTAAAGATGTATAGATATGTACATACATAAGTGCAAGAAAACTGTACTTAATATATAACTTTAATAATTAAAGAATTAGATAATGTAACAGAGATCTTTTTCACAGGAGTGTTCCCATTTGCGTCAATGGAATAATTTGCTACAATAAGGGTTTAGAGGGTCAAGTCTCTATAACAACCCTCTGTGCTCCTTAGGTGTTATCCTCAGATAACATTATTCTCTAGCAGTAGAAAGAAAACGCTATGTTGACAGGTAACCTAACCTGTTTCCAAGCAGCCTGCCAAGTCCCTGACTGTTTGGGTGTGACATTTGACTGCAGTTGCTTTCACACTTTGATTTATTCTGCTGCTCTCACCATTGCCCTGTTTCCCCTGTGCAAAGTCCTGCAGACACATTAGCATGGAGACTGTCACACTGCTTGTCCACTTGTCACAGATGAGCTCTCAGCTGCTCAGCCAGCACCCTGAGACTGACCCCAACCAGGGTGGTGGCACTACATGGCACCTTCTGCATGGAAAACATGGCACTGGGATCCTCACTGCTGTAGCAGTTACTGCAGCAGGCACCACAAACTGCTAATTGTTACTGGGAAGATATATCCTTATTAAGACACCAAATGTTGAGCCTTCTGCAAATGTTTTAAAGTTATGCAAAATAACCTTCACCACGGTATAATATTGCTGCTATTATTATACTTCAGAAATTAATCAATTTAACATATTTCCCCTAACAAATGTTTAAAGGAAGACTGAGACCAGACTGCAGGAATTGGCATTTCCCAGTAGCCACAAGTTAACAGTGTCTTTTTTTGGTAATATTCTGTCTGTAAAACAGCAGTTTTACTATAAGAATTTATAACCTCTTTCTGATCAAAGTATTACAAAATCCTGATGTAGTTAGGGACTTTTGTCAGACAACACATATCAAGCTTTATTTTAGTTTTGTTTTTTAATAGTTTAACTCGCAAATCAGAGAGGCATTTTCTTAAAACCAAAGAGAACCATCTCCCTATTTGCAATGAGCAGCACATGAAGAAGATAGGAAAGCTCATCAGCAACATTTGAAAAAACATATTTAGGGTCAGCATCACAGTCTTTGGATCATTGGCTGTCTTTGCTAAAGAAAGGTTTCCCCAAGAACCTGTGCAGAGAACTAGATTTCTAGAAAAGGGTACCAAAGAGATTAGGTAAGAAATGAGATGTTAGTTGGTGGAGCAGGGCTTTAGGCACCTCTGTATTTCTTCCCCAGGGTCTTCTCAGATGTGAACTTTTCAATGGAGTCACATGTCTGATGCAATGGGAGAGGATTTCAGAATAATCATCAGATTCTTCTCAGTCAGAGAATGATCTTCCTTACCAGCAGAGAACCCTGAGCACCCGGTGACTGCTAGTCCTGGACTGAGAGCCAGGCTCTCTTCCTGCCAGGGCATTTCAACATGGTCTGAATAGCAAAACAGACTCTGAACCAGACAAAGAAGCATTGCAAACCTATTTGCTAGTGGCTAAGGCATCTGGGAAAATGTGATTCAAACCCCTGTTCCAGAGTGGCAAGTGGCCACTTGCCACTTCTTTTTTGGATCACAAACACTGGGGAATTCCAGGGACTGGTAGAAGCACAAATGTGTCCTGCTGAAAGTTGTTCTTGAACAAGGGCTTGAAGATGTTGCAGCTTGTCCTTTCTAATTAGCCACTGGTCCACCCAAACCAGTTTATCTGTCATCCAGGTTAGGGTAGGGACCAGCTGCTGTTCAGTGCCCATTAAGGCAAATTTGTAGTAAGACCAAGTCCCCATTGTCTCAAGGCATCTCAGCCCCACAGTGTGATTGGCAGGTCCAAAACAAAGGGACAAACCATAGCTGAACATTTTTCAGGGCCTGTGATCACAATAGGATGCAAGCTTTGTTTTGGTGCTGTAACTCCTGCCACTCCCCTCAGTGCTAGGACACTGTCCTGTGTCTAGGACACAGAAAATGAGAGAGAATTAAAGTAGTGAGGAGCCAACTCCATCCACTCAAGAGCTTCAGACTCGAGGGGGCACCTTGGTGCACTGAGGGTACTTAGAAGTTGGGTAGCTGATGGTCAGCTTTAAAGCCTGATCCAAAGGGACTATATAGGAAAAAAAGAAGGACAGAATTACCTGTGTAGGTGTACTGTGAATCCTCATCAGTGTCATGACATGAATGCTCATCTCTTTCAGGAAGAGTCTTGCTGCTTCCCAGTAGTGCTGCTTCCCAGGGTGACTTAAAGGAAAAGGTTCATCAAGGAGGGGAAGCAACTAAGGTGAGTCTAAAGAAAGCTGACTTCATCACCTGCTAAATCTGTTCAGTCAACTCCCACCAACATGCCCACCAAGTTGTAAGATGAAAATGTATTATGTGTAGTAGTACTACAATATCAGCATGATATTTCAAATAGCTTCCAATTAGCATAAATGTAAGGTTATCACAGAAAACTGTTGCTGTAAATCTTCACAATTTAGCATTTTAATGTTCCTCCTATTGCCTCCTATGAACAATGTGACGCAGAACAGGGCCTACAGTTGGGAGAAGGTATCTCACCTGCTGTGCATGCAGACTGAAACTGAGCTTCCACTGTCACGTCTCTGTGGTACACAAGAAGGAAATAAACCACCAGGAAATAGTAACGCTGATTTTCAGAGGAAGAAATGCAGCATGAAGCCATGAAGTTTTGCTGGAATTGCATAAGCTGGATCTAGAGCTGTGTGAAGCTCACAACTTTAGTCTCCCTATGCTTCAGCAAATTCTGCCAAAGTAGGCTGGTTTGCTTTCCTTGATTTCTCACCAATGAATTTTAGATTTTTGTGTGCTGGAAAATCAGAGCTGGTGCTGAACCTAGGCAGATTTTGCCATGTCCTCTTTTCCCTTGCACATTATCAGCACACAGTCAATCTGCTGTCTCTGATAGTGAGAACAGTAGTACCATGTACGTTCAGAATCATCACATAAAATGTTTCAAGAGCAAACAAAGAAAAAGACCTAGTGCTGACTTAATCTGACCTATTGCCACAGTCCTTCCAAGGTCACTTACCTGTGCCTAGAGAGAGAATACATGATTTTTTTCCTGGTGAAGGACCTATATGGCTGGTGGGATCTTGCAAACTGCAGATCCATGCCCACCAGCCATGAGCTTTGCTTTGTAAATACATTGCTCCGATCTACCAAACAGCAGGCCATGGTTATTTTTTCAGTTTGGGTGGGATAGAATTGCCTGTACACAGAGCTGTGCCAGGGTAACAGAAGGTGCAATACTGTGTGCTTAGTTAAATTTTTGCATGGAAATTCATGTAATCATTTAAACCAGAGTTATGCTGGCTCACATTGGGCTGGATCAGGTGAAATTATCATCAATGCCAACTCACTCCATTGCACTGCTTTAACAGAGTTCTTTCAGATTAACTCCTTGCAGCTTCTATGTTTAGAGAATCTTTTCTCAGAAACTCCTAGTCTGGCTCTCTAAGCCAAAAATATGACTGGAGACTGTCACAAGTGAGACACAGTGGCTGGTGTAACACAGTGTTCTGACATGACTGTTAATTAGGTAGGTTCACCACGTCTCCTGGAACAACACCATTCCATGTTCAGTGATTAGCACAGCTATAGCCTGAAGTGCAGACTTCTGCTTTCCCAACATAGACTTTTGATCCACCCATTCTTCATGTCCCACACTCACAGCCCTATATGACCAAGAAGGTGCTTTTGGAAGAACATTCTGTCTCCCAGCAGCTTCCTATGCACAAGTACTGTGGTTACCAGCCTGTTACAGCAGTGCCAGTAACTAATGGCATTTCAAATCTTCATGCTACTTTTTGTCAAATGACTACATCATGCATTTGGCACATGCAAAAAGTACTGTTCAGTGAGAGATGTAACCACAGGAAAGAACATTTTTAAAAGAATGTTTATGTTTTGTAAAAATTAAAGAAAGTATATGACATTTTCCTGGATCTATAAAGAACAGGAAGTAGGATATTGTGCCAATAACAATGTCAAAATCCTGTAGAAAAATGCACATGAAAGCTCAACTTTATCAAATCATTCATATTTCAAATTTTCTGGCTTAAGATATATCATTTGTGCAAAAGAGAACAATTATTATTTCCCTCTTTTTCTTAAAATTAAAATCCAAAAGATGTTCACAGGTAAGTAAGTTTTCCTACATCTTTGCTATAGGAATTGAATCCATTGATTATATTAAACGCGATATCCTGGCCACTCTCCCACAGTGTGGAGAGCAATTCAAATAATGCTTCCTTGAACATTTAACAGCTGGTAATTTCTGGCTGCAGACTACCTGCCAAGAAGACACTGTGCATACAAACAAAATAGACAGCATTATACACCTACTTACATGTGCACACAGAACAGGTCATGTTTATCCCTACATTAATACCAGCATTCACAGTGAAGCATCTTCACTAGGAAATTGCTTTAGCAATGAATTTGCCTTTATTACTGACTTTGCAGAATATGTTTTTTGGAGAATGAGCAGTCGCTTCCAGTATCTCTGTCTATTGTGAGTACAGCAATAAAAACAATTGATCAGATGAGTACTGAAAATACAGTTTAAATGTAGCACAAGTTTCTACCTTGACATTTCTAGCAATATAGACAGGACAGATGCATTCTGTCTGTCTGATCATCCTTAGGATAAGGATCTCCTAGTGGCATTCTGGTGGGAGCAAGAAGTAATTACAATTGCACTTGTTCTACAGTGGTAGTTTGCTTATTACTCCTTTTTACCCCGCACTGAGAACAGAGCTTGCAAGATCACAGCAAAGCAGTGCTGTAGCTCCACAGTAGGCATTAAAAGGCCATATAAGTATACAGGGAATTGTCATGTAGTGCAGTGAATACAAAACTGAAGCAGCTATAAGTTGAAAGGTGTCTAAAGAAGGAAAAAGAATTCAACATGGAGAAATGTAAAACTTAACCCTTGAGCTTAGCTAACTTTCTGAGATGATACCAAGTCTCTCCTTTGGTGGAAGGCCCCACTGATGGAGAGATCTTCCTGACGTGGCTTTGTGGTGAAGGCAGTCCAGTCCAGAGTCACATCTTACCAAATTATTTCTTAGTGTTTGGCCATGTTCTCAATTTACAGTTCTCAGGACCCTGGATCAAGGCTAAGCTGTGGTGGAAAATGTGCTCCAGAAGTGGTGGTGGAAGTCGTTGCACCTGAGTATCTGACTACCCTGGTTACTGCTCCCAGACAGCCCAGGATCAGTGCATTTGATTGTCAAGTTTTACTCTGCCCTTGGAAAAAGCAGCTTTCATGTGTGTACAGTGCTGCAGCTCCTGGTCGGGCACGGGTGTGAGGGGCTCTCCCCTGCCTGATCCATCCTCTGGCACGGCTGGTTACCACAGGATCCAGCCAGCTCTGGGACTGTGGTTCTTTGACACAGAAATATTAACAAAGTCCTGGGTCTCCTTGGCACTTTCCCCACCACCTTGACATACACTAGCCAGGGAAGCTGTAATATGGACATGGATTGGTACTTAAAACTGCAACAAATTGCTGTCAATAATAATTAAAAAATGAGTTAATTAAATGCCTGGTATGAATGAGAAATAAGATCAGGGATGACACTTAGACCAGGAGGCCTTTTTCAGCCTGTGGAAAAAAATAGAACACAGTTATTTTTCCCACAGCCTGGAGAAGGCCTCATGTCCTAAATGTCATCTCTAATCTTGTTTTCTATTTCTAGTATATATTACACTGCTCTGCCAGTGCTGCTATAGTTAAAGTGGTGTCAGTGTTTCCATTAGAAACCCCTATTTTCAGAGGTTTGTAACTCAACCATAAAAATTTTGCTCTGGGCTGAAACTTAGAAAACAAGTTCCAGAATTGAAACATATTTAAATTTTTTTTGTCCTACTATTAAAAAAAAATAAATCACATTTTAAAGACCCATTTTGCAACCCATTAGGCTATAAGAGAAATGCACAATGCGTAAAGTTTAAAATTGCTCTGAAAGTACTGTTAACAGCTTTTTGAGGTAATTCTAGGCATTTTATTATTAATTTCAAATACAGATATACTACTGTGGCATTTTCTTTTTTAAAAATGAATAGCCATACAAATATGTTAAATCATTGGAGTTTTAAAACTGTGAGTAAATATTTATAGCACTGGGTCAATAATCTGCATTTTATAAAGGCTCCTAAGTACACATTTACATCATAAAATGTAGCGACACTGAATCACAGATAAACAAGTCAATAATGTGCTTTTAGAAAACTTCATAAATTTAGTTACACAGGCCAATAGTCTGCAACTTTGGTTTATTTTCACATGAAAAGAGCCTCTATTTAGCTAAGAAAACCTTATTTATGCAGAAATCTCAGATCAGGTTCATCCACCTTCCTTTCTTCATGTGCTGTTGTAATGAGAGTTGTGTATCTAGTTTGGGAAAGGCAGGAAAGATGAGATAGATGGTGGCTGAGGTTTGCAGAGCACATTAAAAGGCTGTGGAAGAGTTATTTAAAGTGAGACAAAGGGGTTCTGGCAAGGATTGTGGTATTATCATGGAATTATGACTACTGGAAAATAACAACTAGGAAATCCTGCCAGATGACTGAGGAGCTGACAAACACAGGAAAACCCCATGATTTGGAATATGAGAAACAATACTGAAGCAAATAATAGAAATATATATTTGACAGGGAAGTACCACTAAAAGTACAGCTTTAATCATTAAATGCACTTTGCACTTATTTTCTGTGCTGAAAGACATCACCATTTCCATAGACAAAAGACTTTGATTTTGCAATTGGATTTTCACCAGTGAATCCTATTGGAAAGTTTTCTGGAGGGGAATATCTGACTCAGAATGTACATATGAAGAGCAAGAGATTGCAGTAATTTTCTTCACTGAGATCTAAATAAAACCCATGAATGGTAATCACATTGGGATATTGCAAAATTAGCTCAAGGGGCAATCCAGAAGTGCTAATAAAATCAGATCATAAATTTCTCTTCATACCAAACTAGATGAAGACATCTTTGGTCTAAGGCATGTTTGTAATTATCTGTATATTCTATTCACTCCTAACACATAGATAATTATACTACAATTTAATAACAAGAAAGACAACTATCAATACTCTTTTTCATAGTCTGGCTTGAATTTTGTTGTAAATACTAGTATTAGCCTTGCTTCAGGTATTGTCCCTAATTTATTTATTACAGATGACAATTTTCTAATAATGTTTCAGTTCAGTTCATACCTTTAGTTTTATAACTCCAATTTAAACATTACAAGGCATGATTTTATAATCCCTAGAATAAAGTCCATTAAAGTCACTAAATCACTTGAAACCTGGTTCAAATCCTGCTGAGGTAAAGGGCTTTCTTGCAGTTAATTAATTTGGAATGATGTTTTACTCCTCCTAAAACTCCAATAAAATTTCCATTAATGTTTATGGAAATTTCAAGCATACATTCCCTTTATTTAAATGCCTAAATCATCCTTCTTATCTTATAATTGAAGATATAGATTCCTCATATATAGATATAATTTGTGATAAGTTTTATTCAGCATAAAGATTCCAGTGTCTTTGCACTGACAGGTAGAGTGTAAAGATTACTCTGATTGTCCACTTCCTTACTCCCTAAGGTGTCTCATTCACTTTAGTGAAGCTCCTGGAATAAGGTACAACATGGACAGTGATATCAGAATCTGATCCTTGATTGTCATCTTAAAAAAACCCAAAAGGATGTTATTCTTCTAGCCATCTATTAAAGGAATACTTATTTAATGTCAGCTGCATTTCTGACTTACAGGAAATGTTACATCTATTTTGTAACTGACATGACTTGTAAATGTATAAGTGGGTAGCTACTGAAAGGCCACAGAGGCTATTTTGGAAAATGTGACTGAAAGAATATTTTCTTTGAGAAAAGAGGAATGGAAGACTCTAATCCTAAAATAGTACAGAGTGGAAAAAAAATCTGGGGGATATCAATCTTTTAATATGCTAAAACACAGGAAAGTATGCACGCTGTGGCCTAAATTCCCATCACCTTTCTCATGCAAGAAACATCACTGGGTTTAGAGGGACCAAATTTTTCAATCCTTTCATCTTTTTTTAATATCTTATTCATAGTTACAGTCTCAGGGCTATGCAGTATTCAGTTTAATCACTGCAGCTTTCAAGAGGAACCTCTCAGTCTTTCAACATTTAAGCATTTAGTTGTTTAAAATCATGATTGTTGCTTTGCCAAAAGAGAGGAGACAAATCTGGGCTCAGAAAGAAGATGGACTCCTCCAAACACACAGTAAACACTCAGCAAGTGAAAAGGTACATGACAGCACATTTTGTTAAGAAATTTACAGCAGGTGACCTGCCCCTTTTCATGGTGGCAGCAACTGTATTATTCACTCCACGTAATGAATTGGGAGGTTATGCTAATCTGAAGAGGGAAGCTATCAATTGTATATGTCCAGACCATCTCTCCCATTGATTTTGTAATTAATGATGAATGTAGATTTTGGAAGGGAGAGATTGCTGAGGAGAGAACTTCATGTGCAGAATAAAAATGTTACAGTAGCCTAATCAATTACGTATGGTTGACAAATGGGTGTGGGATGACACAACAAAATACTGTGCTTTAGTAGTGGTCAAAGAGTCACAGAGAAGATGTCACATGATATCTACATTAATCTTTCCACAGGGTAAATGTGATCCATTGCATCAGCAGGACCATGAGCAAACTGTTTGGTATCTCAAAATCACGCGTCTTTGATGCTAACTTGAAACCTGTTTGCTTTGTTCACAGATAAAAACAGTGTAATAATCCACTAGATGCCCAGAAGATAATTTGTCATTTTAATCCTTGTAACAGGCTTCAAAGCCATGTAGAATATCATTTTAGGTAATAAACAGTGGACTTTGGACATAGACTTAACCAATCTTAAGTGTCGCGAGAAGAGGTTATGCCTCTGGAAATAGGTAATACATCTCTTTGGATGCAGTCTGTGCAGAGGTACATCTCAGTTCCCATTAAAGGCCTTCCAGCCTCTCACTGTAGCAACAGTTGCCACAGGGTGAAGTGACAATACATATAACCCACTTAAATATTCAGCTTTAGCTACACAGTGACATTTGGGTGGACAATATACACAAGTTGTACCATTCCTTCCCAACCAAATCTAGAAGCCTGCTGCAAAAATGCAGCACTTGATTCCCCAAGTCTGATTCACAAATATGACCACTCCCTACATACAGCTCTCGCAACTTGACTGTAACTATTCCTAAAAATGACAAAGGTTAGTGTAACAAGGTCAAGTTTAGGACCACATGTGCACCATATCAGACAGCAAACAGCACTGCCTCAGTTCTTCAGGAAGGTTCTCCTTACTTTTGGGTGGGCTGAAGTGCTTATGTTTCTGTGTGTGTATGTTTATTGATGTATAACATGTAAAAATTTCATTTTATTTCCCTCTTTTGACTTCTTTGGAAATACAAAGCAAAACAAGACTTTGGAGTCACTCAGAAACACACATGGGTGAGAGATCTGTCAGTTCTTAACTGAAAGACTGCAAGTGCTGAATTCCTACAAACAGCACTTACTTTCCTATAATGGTTCCACAAATTCAGTTTCATGACAAAAGCTCAAAAGCAAAGACATTCTCATCTAGGCAAGACTGACTTACTGAAGGGACTTTTGCCTCAGTGCAAATTAAAATCAAATTCAGCATACTGTGAAGAGGAGAAATCACTTGTTTCAGCATAAATCAAGTTAACTTACCTGATATCTACAGTATCCTAAAAAGATCCATTCTCATGTGATTCACAGATTCAGAGGACTTGCATTGCTAAGGTAAAACTGAAGAAGATGCATAATGATCCTCAATTACTGTACTGTTCACCTCTGCATATTACAAATACAGCAGAAAAGGACATATCTGGAGGTTTAGTGTTGTGGGGCTTTCGGGGGTAGTTCGAGGGGGTGGTGTGTGTTAGAGACTCCCATTCCAGCCACCTGTACCATGTCACTGCCACACGTGGAAAGCAAAGCAATGACATGTACATCTACCACCATACAAACATGCTCATCAGTGAGTTCCTGTGGGGAAACCACACACCCTGGAAACACTTTAAGGTAGGAGAGCAGATCTGAGGGAACCCCACCAAACAGTGATCTTTCTCCAGTTGTAGTGCTTTGCTCTACACAAAGGTCATAGAAGGTAGCTCTGTGACTCCATCATGGTTTAGGTTTTGTGTGCCTTATGACAATGTCACACAGGCTCAGTTCAGCAAAATGTAATGTGCCATTATTCTACTTGTTATCTCCAGCTAGGCACCAGCAATTTTCTAATTATAGGCAGGCAGATTCCTGAAAAGGTATTTCTATCTACTAGGAGGATATACAAATAGTATCAGTGATCCTTATCAGTGAATGTAGTTGGAAATGTTATTCATTTCAGTATTTAAGAACAGGTTTTCCAATGTGTAAAAGTCAAAGAGAGCAATTTGTATTCACTCAAGGACTTGAATTAACCTGTGTGTTTGTGGGCTGGAGCTGAATGGGAACTGAAATGTTTTGTGGCTTCCACTGTCCTAATTCTGAAACACATGACTGGTTTCATTGGACACAGGTAGTTTGGGTAATGTGGGTGTTTTTAGTTTGAAATCTGCCTTTCTTAAAGTAATTTGTTAGAATACTGATATCCCTGTTTCCCAGCAGGGCAGGGAAAGAAAGACAGAAAGAAAGCCTAAATGTCATACTAAAATTTAGAAGCCCGGAAGGCAGGAGACAGACCATTACAGGATCAAGCTCTAGAAAAATCTTTACCTGTTGCTCAAAAATACAAAGTACAGCATATGGCAAAGAAATTTAAGATGGTTGTCCTTTATTTGCATGAATATTTGTCCTGTGAGGTAGTATAACAACAGCTACAGGATTTATTTTTGTAACAGAGACTAATATCCAAATTCAACTTTGGAGGGGAAGAAATCATAAAACAAACAAGATAAATACCACTATAAGGAAGAAGGAACTGTAATTATTTCACATGGAAATTTGGGCATGGGTGGAACGAATTTGTAATTTTTTTTTTCAGTTTTACTTCTTGAGCCATTGCATAAAAAAAAACTCCTACAAGATTTTAGTGCCTGCCTCAGTCCTATCTCTATGGAGAAAGTTTGTAAACCTTTGTTTAAGTGTTTCATAAGAGCTCTGTGCTATTTTGGTTTCCTTAACAACATGTTTATTAAGTTACTCAAATCCATCCTTGACTTCTGAATTAAACACAGGAGTGAACTCTTCAGGAGTCCCAGCTTTCCCTACAACTGATTTCAAGCTTGGGATGCGGTGTCTGAGGTTAATTCTCCAGTGGGTCCCAGCACTTAAGAAAAGGAACTGAGTACATTTCAGAGAAGGGGTAAAAGTCAGGGCCAAGGTAATACTTTACGGTGGGCTAAGGAATCTTTCGGAAGGTGGTTGGAATGTTCCCTGCACTTTTCTTTTATGATAACACTTTATTGGCATCAAGTGCAGCCAACTGACACCACCATTAAAATAAAACAAACAAACAACCAAACAAACCCCCAAAACAATAGACAGGGCCTTTTAAAAAACTTTTTAGCCTCCCCTTGACAAATATTGTCCAGACATTTTATTTTGTTGGTGTTTTGATACACTTTTCAAGACCGGGCGCTTTTCCAAAAGCTACACTCCACTTGTGGCTTGGATAATTTTGTGAATCACTGGGACCCATTTTATTCATAGAGTCAGAGCTGATGATTACAGTCATCTCTTCTGATCTTAAAAGCTAGGCAAGCAATCCTATGCTAGCCAAGAAATCGTAATGTTTCAAGTGGTAGAATTCTTTTTAATGAAATATCTCAGTAATCTGTAATTTTCCCAACACATCAATGACAATCAGAACCAAATGGAAGTTCCCTCTGCCTTTTCTTAAGGCACACCCCCTCTAATAATGTATTTTGTATCATGGCAGATATGTCTTCCCTTAGGACAGGCAGTTTCCAACTGGAGTGCCATAAGTCAAATCACTTTGATTTATTTTGTATAATTTAATTATTTTGGTTGGTTTTTTCCTTCAGTTGGGTAAGTTTTTGAGACATTTTCATTTCTGTGTTCAAGATGTAAAGAATCACACTTAGAAATTACAATCAATTCATTCTATCTGGTGATTGTGGTTTTTTATGATTCCAGTGTCAATTTTTTTTCAGAACATTTCTCAACTCACCACATGAAAATGAGCACCTCTTACCATAAAGCTTTCCATGTCTCTATCCATGGCCCTTAACATTTATAACGTAACTAAAATTTCTGAAGTTGAGCTTTTAAACCACTAAAAATGCAGAAATTAACAAACATTAATTAACAAGAACTATACAAATTCTTTATACCTGGTCAAACCCAAATCTTCTAAAGTTATTTAACAATTAAATGGAACATAATAGCTATATTTTTCATGTTATTTCACATCAAACAATTAACATTCTGGATTCTAAAATATCAATTAAAAACCCCACAAATCCTTATTTTTCGTACCCTTAAAACATATAATGAAAAAAAATCTGCATATGCAGGAAAATAAGATATGAAGAGATTTAATTCTGCTCAGTTTAACTCTGTCTGAATAATTTTGAAGCTAAAGGGATTCATTAAAAAGCAATTCCTCCATGACACACATACAAAATGCATTTCCTCTTTCTTCAGGTGAAGTGAAGTAGTTTCCATTGACTATAATATTGATGGCACTAAAAAAGTAAAAGATACAGAATGAAAAGAAGTCTTCTTCCACACACACACAGAAAAAGGACAACCATGTATAAGTATTTGTGTATGTATATAAGTGCCACATATAAGAAAAGAGATTGTACAGAGAAACTATGAAAAAGTATAAATCCATCTGCTCTATAACAGCTCAAATACAGCTGAGGAAATTCCTGCATTTCTTTCCTAGGGAAAAATTGCAATGTTTTGAAATTTCCTTTCATTCTAAATCGTAATTTGACCTCAAATTTCATAACACTCTTCAGCATAAAAAATATAAGAAAATCTATATTAGGTAATACTGAAATTAGTTTTAAAATTAACACAGTATAATTAATATCAGAAAATAATTTTTGAATCAACTGATGTGAAAACCTCTAGATCTTTTTTTTTGTATATGTCAAATCAATACATTATAGTGAAACCTTTCTAGGCTGATATAAAATTATTTAATGTACATGGATGTAGTCATCACATTTGTGCATATAATTTGAAGTCCTTCTGCTAGAAAATTTAAAAATTGTTTTGCTTGATGTTTACCAATCCCACATTAGATCTCATAAAATAATCCTCTTTTACTGGGACAATGATAAAACACAGTCCAAAATATTATGAGTGTAGGAGAACCCAAGCTTGGGCAGCATAGTCTTATCCTCCACCATCCAGATCACCAGAAACTTGAGAGCACAAGAAGGTGTCTGTTCTTGTATTTCCTCTCTGGATCAACCAGGAAGGACTCAGCCACTCATAAGGCAAGAGAGCTTTTGTGTCCAAGCAGCTGAACTAGTGATAATGAGTTTTAATTTGCTGCCAATGCTCAGCTGCACAGTCTGCGCTGCTTCCTCTGAACCACAATAGCAACACTGCTTCCATCACTGCCAGCACAGTTCCTGCACCAGTAGTACAGTTTACGCACTGTCCCTCCTTGGGATTTGTACTTTAAAAAGTCAATTTTCATTCTGCTATAGCAGAATATTGCTATAAATTAGGAAGTCACTGGTGAGCAATCAGAGCTGATCTTCCTACAGCTTTGTGTAACTTATTTGTAACTTCATTTTTGCAGAAGCTAGACTTCTATTCTTCTTCTGTCTATCTAGGAGCTACAAGAAATAAATTCACAATGAAGGAAATACTATCACAATTTCTGATAGCTTTTCCTCATGGTCAATACAAATGATTTTTTGATTTGTTCTGGGATATGTAAGACTGGGTCTCACAGATCTGTCAATCTGTTGCTTTCTGCAGCTTTGCCCAACACAGCAGAGATTTCTCATTTTTTAGAGCACAGTTTAAAATTGTGCTTTTTCTGGCAAGGCAGGTTTGGTCAGTTAAGAACCAGGTGATCATCTGGTGGCTAAACAACAGATACATATCACTGCATAAAAGAATGGGAAATAAAGAAAAGTGTCTCACCTCCACAGCCATTAGGACACAGCCCAAATCTCTCCTGACACCAGTGAGGCACATGATGAGTGTTAGAACACTGAGACCCACAGCTGATCACACCAAATGTCCACCGAGCCCAGGATTTGTCTCCAGCAGGGTTTCTAAGAGCTGAGCAGGGAAAAGCAGAAAGAAGACATGTACGTATGGCAGTCCCCACAGGTTGTCCCACAGAACAACCATTTTTAACTGCACCTATTTTCTGAGTGGTTGTAGTTTCTGCAGTTTAATAATTGTTACTAAATTTCTCATCCATAGAGTTGTGCAGTCTCTCCTTGAACCCATGTAAGCTTAGAGCAGCCTCCATGGCCTTTGGAAAAAGCTACACATCTAGTGTCTTCTGCACAAAGAAACCAAACTTCATTTGGTTTCTTTTGAGCTTGGCTCCTGTGAACTCCATTCAATGGTTCTGAGCTGCATTGGGGGGAGACAGCAAAAATCCAACTTTGTCCATTCTGCTCATCAATTTATAGGTCTATCAACTGCCTTTTAAACTGAGCAGCCCGAGTGTATGCAGACTGTTCCTGCTGTGGAAGTAGTTCCACCCTTTTTGGACTCCTGTGAACATCTCCCAGTTGTACTATATTCTATTTGAGATGAAAGTACACTCTTCAACACGTGGGTGAACACTGATTCACAGAGTTGCTCTCTAGTTTTTTTTCTCATTTAACATTTGGTTAATGTTTTGGCTGCCTCTCAGCACTGAGACAATGTTTTCATGGAACAAACTATTATAATCCCAAGATTGTGATCCTGAGTCATAATGGTCAGGTCAGAGCCTGTAATTTTGTATGTGAATTTAGGATTCGTTTTTCCCACATACATCAGTTTAGATCTATGCATATTAAATTTTATTTGCCTACACAGTCTCCTGAGGTACTTCTGTGCTTCCTCATGGGTGATCTTCACGTTTACTACCCTGAATAACCAACTTCCTATTATCCTC